TAGATAAAGAGTAGAGATATTAAGAGTCTTGTCCTTGAGTATTTATTATTCACAGATTGTTTTATTATTAGTGAATTGACAAATTGATCTGTAAACAGGCATAGATGAGAATGAAGAAAAGAATTCCAGCCTGTCACAGTGATGACGACTGGCATCATATGACTCAAACATGTACAGTAAAAACGGATGTGTGGAACTCTGAGGTCTTAACACAAAGGAACCTAGTCCCTTCTTTCTGTTAGAAGTGATTGTATAGACAGATGTCAGGAATTTACAGAGCTCTTGTTCTTGGTTTTGTGTTCATAAATTTTACCAAATATTATTATAAAAGAATAAATGACAAAATAAATATGGATGAAGAGGGTGAGGTATTGTTCATTGTTAAAATGTATAGAAGAAAAATAATACTGATGTCTATTGCAATCAATATTAAATGGATCAAGTGTATTACATCTTTGATTAAGAATGAGATATATAATGATAAGTAATAGTTACTGCTCTGAGTCAGTTACAATTCTGATGTTTAATTTATTAAGAAAGAACAAATATATCTGATCATTAATCAACGAATAATGAAACGTAGGAGTCAGGGAGCAATGGAGATGAGGTCTCATCTTTCTGTGCCCTTTTGTGCTCTGTACTCCTGAGCGTGGGTGCTCCGGAGCTGACTCCAGCATCTTCGCTTGTCATGAGCTCTCTGGTTGCCTCTGTCTGTAAGTAAGTTCTTGTCTCAGTTCCAACACTCTTTTCAATGGCTATTCACTGTATCATTAAAAAGTGTGAAATACAAGCAAAGAAAGCCAGCTCTAGCCCAGTGACAAATGTGAGATTTCTTTTATTCATTGATATAACATTGATTATGTCGATGAATATATATACAAAGAATATTCATTTTTCAATTAGAGATTTATGTAAGAATGATTTGATACAAAGATGAGGGATATTAAGGCTTTTCTTGAGTTTTTATGAATAATAGGATCTTGAAATTATATTGATAAATGAATAAATTACTCTGTAGAAATTATAGAAAATATTAGAGAAAAAGAGGGACAGTGACACCGTGGATCAACGATGACTCCTGGTGGTGTGTGAGTTACATACGCTCAACACGTATCTGTCTTCCAACACAAACGCATCCCAGTCCCTTGCCCTGTATGAAGGGATCCCCTACGATTCAGGAATCTATGAGCATCTTGTTTTTTTGTTTACCTTCATGTACTGTCATTCTATTTATAACTGGATCAATGAAATAATCAATAAAAACATATAGGTAAAGATGAAGATCATGAGAATTGCCCAAATATAAAGATATGTAGTTAGATAGGAAATACTATGCATCTATATAGAAAAAACTCCTGCACATTAGGAAATAATGGTCGACAGGTGTTACCTCTTTGGCTATAGATTCTATAGTTAGCATTTCATAGTAATAGACAATGTTCCTATTCTGTGTCCGCGGCAAGGTCGCCGTTATTTGGTCACTTGGGAGAATGTAGACATTTTTCCATTTTGCTAATTGTCCTAAATGACTAATCAAAAGTTAAATGCAGGGATCAGTAGATAAGACATCTGAATCTTTTTTTAACCACCTACTGTGCTCTGTACTCCAGAACGGACCCGCCCTAACTGATTTCAGGATTCTTCTGTGGTGATGGTCTCGACCATAGATCTCTGTGTCAGTGAGTAATTTTCATGTTCTTGTCTCAGTTTGGGTGGTTTAAGGGCATTCACTCTATTACTAAGAAGTGTGAAATATAATCAGTGCATGCCAATCAAAATGCAATTACTGTGAAGCACCGTGTTTATTAATTTATATACAAATCATTGAGGTTATTTAACAAAAGGGATGAGTTGCTGAGGGAAATAATTCTGTAGACAGATGGAAGAGATTAGTCCATGCCAATCATGGATTAATAATAAAGAGGTTACACTGAAGAAAGTACATTGACTAATCCATATATTCAACACTGAGATTCATTAGCAGAACAGACCTAGACTATTTGCTCTTTAGAAAATGATTTTGTATCATATGTTTAGGGATATTAAAGCTACTTTAAAAATTAATTTGTTATATATTTATTATTAATGAATTAATGATTTCTCTCTTCACAAAATGACACTAAATGAAGAACAAGAGGGTGAATACTGAGTAAATACTGTGCCCTGGCGGCAGGTGAGTCAAGGGCACATACTGCTTACCTAGAACTCCGAGGTCCAGTGCAGACCAGATTTGATTTCTTATTAAAAGTTCATGCAACAATAACTACACAAACGTATGAACAAATGAAGGATAAATGGGTCAAATGTGGAAGGAAGATGGCATAAGTAATGAAACAAACATCCCCCCCAGTCCATTTCAAAGACCTGAAGTCCATTAACAATTTGGAGAGGCTTTTGTACCTAAGCATAAGGGACATGTATTTGCCAATGCTCATGTTCTGGGCTGTAACTATGTAGCAGGTGTTTTTTTAAAAACTTAATTTAATAGTCAAACGATTATATAATTTAATCAATTAACTACATTAAAGATGGCCGAGCATGAACCAGTGACAAAAATATGTTCAATGACAGTTAAGACCAATCCATTTGGCTTCACTGTGCCCCATGGGTGATCATTCCACAATGTAAATCGAATCATCACGCTGTGCACCTTAAAGATTTCCAACTTTGTCAATTTTTCCTCATTGAATTTGGAAAAAGTATATTATTCCGCCAATACTCATGCCAGTGAGCACCTGCAGTGACAGTCAGTTAGTTATCATTTTGAGTTTGTGCACAGACATACTGATTTTCTTATCAGTAATTAACAAACAGGTTAATAATTTAATAAGATAAAGGTGACAGAGCTCCTGACCAGTGACGAGTATATGTTGAAACCTCATCCTTCATCAGTTCTACTCATGTTATGTCCTCCTTATGAAAAAAATATTGCTCTTATCAGTTGGATTGAAGGGAGTTAAATAGACAGAGATATACAATGCTATTTCTGTCCTGGGTTTTTGGGAAGTTAAATAGTTTTGATTTTGTTTAAAAATTAATAGTCTCCAAATACCTAAATGACTAAGAAAATGAAATGAGAAAAGTATGTATCTATGGCAAGAATGTCTTGATATTGTATTATCTGTATTGCTTATACTCAGAGTGAATGCACCTAGCTGATGTAGTCCTTCTGCCATGGCCAGAACTCTGCGGGGAGCATGGAGACCAGTGTGAGTAATAGCGAATTCTCTTATGTTGGTATGGGTGACTAGTTTAAGAACATTAACTGTATTGTTCATAAAATGTGTTAAGTACAATGAAAGACGTTAACCATGGCCCACTATGGGGTTCATGTGGAACATATGTTCCTTAATAGATTTGTGCAACACTAACATTGACTAATAATAGTTCTGAGGGAAATTATTCTGTAGACAGATGTTAGGGAGACTTAAGAGCATTGTTCTTGAATTATTGTGATCATGTAAATTTATTTTGTTATTATTAGTCAATGAAAGTTAGTAAATCAAGAAACATGGATGAGGGAAAGGGCAAATCTTGGAGTAATGATGGACCCCTGTAGGGTGTGTCATGGGCAATGAGTAGGATGTGTCTGCATTGTCAGGGCCAGTGCAGAAGAGATTAGTCTATGTCTCTGTTGGGACTGAACCTCTGGAAAGGTTAAGATGAAGAATACACAAAGATCTTGTTTTTGGACTTCTGGGCCTCATTAATTTTTACTGTATTATGAAAAAATCAATAAGTAATCTATACAATTACATAAATGAATAAAGACGAAGACTGTGAAGCATTGTCTAATTATAAAAATATGACATGAGACAAGAAATGGTATTAACATAATGGCCCTTAGGAAACCAGTGGACTAAGGGTGTGACCTCTTTTGCTAACAGGAACAGTAGGTGTTACTGCTTCAGATCAGTGGTGAATTCTACATTGTTCTTTCTTTTAGAAGTGACAGTTAATTATTAAAATCAACTAGTAAATATTTAAATGACTAAGAATATGACAGGTGGGAAGCACTGATCAATGCAGAGAATGTCTTCACCTGGTTTTCATCGGCTCTGCTTTGTATTCCTCAGGGTAGATGCCCGCTGCTGGTACGGTTCTGCTCTGATCCCCGTGATCAAAAACATTATGGTTGCCTCTGTGTGGGGACCACTGTCAGTTACAGTCACATTCCTTGATGAGGCTGGTGGTTTGCCCAACGGTATTTATTGTATAAAAACCTGTGAAATATAATCACAGAAGTCCAACCATAGCCTACTTATGAAGCTGGTGTTGATAGAAAGCATGACTTGATGAATTGATACATGAATCATTGAGGCCAAATAGAAAGAGATCTAATCTCTGTAGGAAATAATTCTATAGGCAGAGGTTAGGGAGTTTCAAGAAACTTGGGTTTTTACCATTGATTAATTTACTTTGTGATTATTAGTGAATTATTGAATTAATCTCAAAAAGGTGAAGAATAAAAGGGGAAAACCTGGACGAACATTGATGAGTGGTGCTTATGGGCACATGCAATGAGTATTATGTGTCTGGAACCCTCAGGTGGTGCAGCACAAAAGGAATCTCGTCCACTCCAGTTGTTTGAAGGGAACCTATAGCACAGTCAGGAATATATAAGATCATTTTCTTGGGCTTGTGACCATGTATTTTTAACAATATAAATTGCAGAATAAATGAACAAATAAACAAATGGAAAAAGATGAAGATGACAAAGCATCCTTTATTATTAAAATATCTAATAAATAAAAATGATATTAACATAAGTTGGAATAAATAGTAAATACACCAGGTGTATTACATTTCGATGAAGTATGATATATACTATAGATAGTCTTAAGTAATAGGTAAAATTTTGACAATTAATTTGTTAAGAGAAGGATAAGTATATATTACTATTTGAAATAATCACCCAAATAACTGTGTATGTGAATGGTGGATGGATCAATAGAGAAAAATGTCTCCATCTTTTTATCACCTTCTGCTTGGTACTTTTCAGAAGAGATGGAGCTGATTTCAGCTTCTGCTGTGATGAAGATTGTCATGTTGCCTCTGTGTCAAGGAAGAGACTAACGTGAGTAGTGAATAGTCCAAGATGTTATCTTGGTTCAGGCCACTCGATTAAGAGTATGCACGGTGTCATTAAAATTATTAAATTAATTAAAAACTTAATTATTGCGCAAGCAATCAACGTGATATGGAACATGTTGGTTAATCCATAATGTAACATTGAGGTTGATTAATAGAAGAGGTGTAATCTATATGGGAAGTGATTGTTTAGGCTGATGGTGGGGACATTCAAGGACCTTGCTCTTTGGTTCTTTTTGTGTGTGAATAATGTACTTACTTTGTTATCATTGAGTAATTAAAGGTTTAGTGTTGCCAATGTAGACTTGAATGATCAAAAAAAGAGAAACCCCAACATGGACCAGTTTCGGTGAGTCATGGATGATGAATAGAAGTGTCTGATACTCTCAGATACAGCACAATACATAGCTAGTTTCATTCCTCTTTGGAAATGATGCTATCGACAGATGTCAGAAATACACAAAGGTCATCATGTTCTTATTTTGAATTTGTAGATTTAGATTTATTATTATTAATGAATCATTGATAAACTCATCAAATAAAAATAATACTTAGATAAAGGAGAGAGTGAGGCATTGTCCAATTATGATCATGTGTGATATAAGACATACTACATAAAATTAAAAAAAAATCGATGCCCATTTAGATATAAATTGATCAAAGGTTTTACTTCTTTGGCCAAGGATTTTGTAGATGAGGATAATTACGTCAATTCTATTCTTCTAGATCAGATTCAAGTTTGAGGTTGGTCCCTTTGTCAATAGGTAAAAATACGTAATGAAGAATTAACAAATACCTACCCAACTCAGTAAATGAAAGATGGGAAGGAAGTTCCCATATAGATGAATTCTTTTTTTTATTGACTGCGCTGCTCTGTGCTCCTCAGAATGGACCCACTCGAGATGACGTCAGTGTCTTCCCTGGCCTCCCGCCCGCTGTTCGCCTCTGTATGTCAGGAGCATGCACCCCATTGTGAGTGATCGTCAGAGTTCTTGTGTTGGTGTGGGGGAGAGTGTGAATTAATGAATTAATGAACAAGTTGGAAATGAACACAGGGAATGTGTGCTAGTCCTGGACCCGTGATGAGAACCTGTGGCATTTGAGGAGAGGATGATAAATTTCAATGTGTCTGAAACTCTGAGGTCCAGCGCAGAGCAACCAGTGCCTTCTCTTCGTTTGAAAGGATCCCATAGACAGAGCTTAGGAACATGCAAGGATGGTTTTGGTCTTAGGGTTTATTTTATTCTATTATTATAATTGGATAAATGTAATAATCAATAAAAATATATAAATAAACATGAATGAAGTTTGTCCAATTATAAAAATACATTGTGAGGCAAAGAGTACTATTAATACATTTGGACTGTTAAGTGCTAGTCAATGTTCATTTCCTAGGTGAGGGACAAGTTCTAAGTTGTTTATTTCCTTCAATAAATTGAAATAAATGTAGTCTAGATTAATGAGTGACGAAATCACTAAGTTTTTTATCATTGCTCTGTTCTATACTCCTCAGGAAGGACACATTTGGGCTGATCGCAGCATCTTCCATGGTCATAGCCCTGTGGTTGCATCGCTGTGTGAGGAGCATGGAGAGTCACGTGAGTAATGGTCAGTGTTCTTGGATTGGATTGGTTGTTTTAAAAAAATTATTTTTTTATTATTAAAAGTATTAAATATAATCAAAGAAGCCCAATCATGTCAATATCACATGTTATTTATATGAAATTATATGATGATTAATTTACATATGAAACACTGAATTCAGTTAATGAAAGAGTTTGGTTTCAGTAGAAATGATTCAATAGATGGATGGTGGAGGGGGGCAATGGGGACAAAATGGGGGACATCTGTAGTACTCCCAACAGTAAAAATAAATAAAAAATGGATGTCAGAGATATTCCAGGATATTATTTGTGATTTTTCTTCATTTATGTTTATTTTTATATTAGTGAATTTAACCAATAAGAAGCATAGATGACAGTTGGTAAGAAGAGCAAATCCAATGATGATGGCTCCTGGCATTTAAGTCATATGCATCGAATACCATTGGAACTCTGAGGTCCAACAAAAAATGAATCCATTTCATGTGGCTGAAATACCAGGATATACAGGGTCCTATTTTGTTTTGCACTCATTTGTATTCTATAAATATAATTGAATCAGTGACTATACCAATAAATATATTACAAATAAATGATGGGGTAAAACATCTTCCAATTATACAAATATGTGGTCTGATAAGAAATACTATTCATATATAATGTGAACACTGGAGATCAATGAAAATAAACAGTATAAGGACACTGTTTATTTTTGCTAAATTTGTTATAGATAGTAATGAGCAACAACCAACGTTCCTAGTCTGTCAGTGTCCATATTGGTATTGTTTAGTCACTTAGGAGCAAGTAAAATAGACACAATCACAAATTACCAATTATGTACATGGCTGACTAAATAATGGTGGAATTGGGGGACCAGTGGAGATAACGTCTCGATTGCTTCTTTGGTTCTGTTGTGCATTGTACTCCATAGAATGGATGCACTGCATCTGATGTCAACCTCTTCCCTGGGAAAGCGCTCTGGGACTGCGCCTGTATTAGGAGCATGGAGGCCACTGTGAGTAATAGCCAATGTTCTTTTTGCTTTAACTGTGTTTTATGTTTTAAGATTTTCCCTGTATTATTAAAAAGTGTTACTCTCTATATAATACCAGAATGATGGGTCGCCGTGGTGCGCCCTGACCACCATGGGGCAGACACTCGGCCCAGGAGCTGCCCCCTGGTGGTCAGTAGGCTCCCACAGAAGTGTGCAGCGCAGCCAGAAGCCGGGCTCAAGGCTGGCTTGTGCAGTGGCCATGGCAGGAGCCTCTCCCACTTCCACGGCTTCATGAAGGAGCAGCGAGAGGAGTGGTAAGGAGTAGTGAGCAGGGGGGTGGTAAGGCATGAGGGGGTCCCGGACTGTGAGAGGGATGTCTACCAGCTCCCCATAAGAGGTCCATGACATCCCCCAAGGGGTTCCGGAATGCAAGAGGATGCAGGCCGGGCTGAGGTATCCCCTTCTCCCCCGCCCCCGTGCACACATTTCAGGCACTGTGCCTCTATTGATGAAAGAAGATTAGAGATGTCACTGTTAAAAATATTACCATGAAACATTGTGTTGATTAATCCATATATGAAACACTGAGCTCAGTTGATGATGAGTCTGGTCTTAGTGGAAGCGATTATAAAACTGGATGTTAGAGATACCTAAAAATCTCACTCTTGTTCCTTTTTTTTTGTTTTTTGTTTTTTGAGATTTATGTAGATGACAATACAGAATGAAGGCCACCCCTGGACCAACAATGATCACTGGTGCATTGTGGGGCATATGAGCTCAATAGGTATCTGGAAGTCTGACATCCACCACAAATGGAGTCCGGCACGTTGCCTTTTATGACAGGAACCTGTGGACAGCTGTCAGGAACATAAAAGGATCTCGTTCTTGGTCTTTGAGTTCATGAATTTTAAAAATATTATTATTAAAGATTTAATGGCAGCATAAATAGACAAATGTATAAATGAATAAAGATGAGGAGCATGAAGCTTTGTTCATGAATAAAATATGTAATAATGAAAAAATGAATATCAATATAAATGGGAAAGGTTAAAAAAGGGCCAAGGGTATTATGTATTTGACGAAGGATGGCATCCACACTGACAGGTAACAATTATTGCCCTCAGTCAGGTATTAAGTTTGAAGTTCATTTTATTAAGAGAAAAATAAATAAATATCACCATTAATTAATAAACCCTCAAATGACTGTAAATGAATAGTGGAAAATGTGGTACAATGGAGCAAATGTCTTGATCTTCCTTTTGGGTAAACATGTAGTTGAATTTTAAAAATACATTCTGATTATTGATGACATCTCTGGATAATGTATTGTTTTACAGTTTTGTGAAGACCAATATATTTGTATGTACTATTTATGTATTTCTAAGTGCACTTTTATGCTTCTTTATTGTTTTTTCTGTTTGTTACACTCCCTTCTTGATTTATATTTGATTAGTTATGTTTGTCTCCTAATTTAACTATTTTCTATACTAATCTGATATACATTCATTCAAATTATATTTCTATAGGTAGTATCTTTACATTTTAATGAGTATGTTTACATTAAATTATAAAAATAATATCTTTTATTCTTTTGTCTGCTTGTACTTCTCAGAATGAACGCACCAAACTGATTCCAGCATCTGCTCCGGTTGAGATGATGGTAGAAAAGAGACCAAGGTGAAAAGTAGGTGAAGATTTTACCTTGTTTGGATGATTTTTTAAAAAAAGTGTTCGTAGTATTATTATAAAGTAATAAATATAATAAAAAACATAAGTGTGAATCAAGTACAAATATGTTATAACATTTGTTGATTCACTGATAATGTGCAACATTGAAGTCAGTTAATGTAAAAGATATAACCTATGTATGTAGTACAGAGCTAGGTTTAATCAAGGATCTTTTTCTTGTGATTTTATGAATCATGTATTTATTTTACTAGCTATGAATTAGTGCTTTAATAATCACATATAGAGAAACCAATGAAGGAAAAGAAACCCAAAAATGGATCAATGATGATGACTGGTCACATGGAGTCATATATGGTGAGTGTCAGGTGTCTGTAACTCTTGTGTTCACAAGAAACAGATTCTGGTTTATCTTCTCTTGTAAATGACCCCATGGGTTGATTTTAGGAATATATAAAAATTATATTCTCATTTTGAGTTCATAGATTTAGATTTATAATTATTAATGAATCAATAGTCAAACCATTAAGAATGTAATAAACAACTAAAGAGAAAAGAGTGAGAGACATTGTCCAGCTAGGAACATATGTCATGAGGCAATAAAATTACAATCATACTTATGAAGCCATAAGTGGAAGTAGCATATACCTTTTTGCCTAAGAACCATATAGTCAGTGATGAGTAAGAGTCAATATTATTTTGCTCTTGATCAGTCTCAATTTTAAAATTATCTTTTGTTCAGAGAAAATATGTTACAATATGAAGAATTAATCAATGTCTAAGTGAATAAATAAAATGTATAAAACAAGGATCAGTGGAGGTAAAGTGTGAAAACTTTTTATCTTCTGCTCTGCTCTGTTCTCCATAGAGTGGACACACTCGAGCTGATTTAAGGGTTCTTCCATGGCCACACCAGGTGGGCAAGGGTCAGTATATTTATATATTGCCTAATGATGATCACAGTGAAGTTTACTTTAACATCGGTTGCCATATATAGTTATAAAATATGTTTTTTGGTGAAGAAAACTTTTAAGATTTATTATCTTACCAACTTTCCTTTGTTAAGATAAAAATTATACATTAAAATATAAGTACCTTAATACTGAGTCAATGAAACTCAGAAACCAAGACTTGGTTTTCCTTTACCATCTTCCCTTCTCTGTCCTCTTCAGAACGCAGACACTCTAGACGACGTGCGCACCTTTCTCAGTCACAGGCCCGGTGGTTCCCACTTTAGAGTAGGAGCTGGAGGATTAATGTGAGTTAGGGTTGAAATATTTTCTTGGTTTCAATGTGGTTGTTGTTGCTTTAAGTTTATTCCCCGTATTATTAAGTGTGAAGTATCAGTAACGAAGGCAACTGTATCTGTTAAATATGGACTATAAGAAAAATGACATCCAGTAATGCATCATGGGAACAGGTGATAATTAAGAGATATATTGCTGTGAGAGTAAATGTATATTAAGTTTAAAGATACGAGGGCTCATCTTGTTTTTTGTGAATAATAGGCTTTCAGAATTATTATCATTGGACTAATATTTAATCAATATACACGTAGAATATAATGAGGAAATGAGAGAGAATAGTGAATTGATGATGGCTACTGTTGGCCTAGGAGTTACATGGGGCAAATACATATCTGGAACTCTGAGTTCCAATTTAAACTTACTATAGTCCCTTCCCATCTCCCAGGAATCTTATAGACAGTTGACAGGAAGATCCTAAGATCTTGTTTCTGGTCTTAGTGTTCATGTATTCTCATCTATTATTATAATTGGATAAATTATAGAATCTATAAATAAACATAAAGAAAAACAGATCAATGAAGTATTGTCCAATTATAAAAATATGTAAGGAGGCAAGAAATAGTATTCATATATTATGCAAATCATGAAGTCCAATTAGAAACAAATGACACATTACTGTTACCTGTATAGTTAAAGGATAAACCATAGAAAATGCTCATAGTCTGGGTTAGTGGTCCAATTAAAATTTGTTTTCTTAGGAGAAAACGTATACACCAAATCAGTGATTGCCCAAATGACTGACCATGTGAGCGGTGAAAAGCAAATTTCAATGAACAGAAGGTCTCAACCATTTATATCACCTGCTCTGCTTCATACTCCTCAGGACAAGCACACTGGACCTGCTGTGAGGTTATTCCTGGACCATGAGCCATAGAATTGCATCTCTGCTTTAGGAGCCTGGAGACCAATGTGAGTCATAATGAAAGTTCTTATTTTGGTTTGGGTGGTCTTATAAGTATGACATACTCAAGATGGCCAATTGCATCCTCATGGCTAAAATGGGATTAAGAGGCAGCATTATATTAAATAATTCATATATGAAAAATGTTAATAAATATGACAGATGTGATGATG